TCTGGCTCAGTAAGTGCAGTTTGTCAAGGTCTGTTTAACAGCCATTCCTCCCACTCTCCACGCAGCACAGAACGAGACTGATATTCTACAATTCTTTCCTGCTCTAAAGTAAATTAGACAATTACTTTTCCACTTAATCTAATGTACACCTTTACAAGAAATTAGCCTTTCCGCATGATCCTCAACAGACACAAAACTTTCCATGTCCACCACCTATTTACATACTCAGAAGAATTACAGACTGAGACTTTTCTTTTGGTTCAGCTGATGTTTTCTCCACAGCTAGTACTTCAGCTGCCCTCTTTTTTCTTCTTCTTCTTCTTCTTCAACTAACCTTCAGGCTCTCCCCTCTTTCTCTGCATATTTCTTAAATTACGTGGGTATTCACAGAACACCGCATTTTTTTTGACAATAGCCTTGGCACCTCTCAGTTCAGGAGCCACAAGAACCCTCTGCTTTTATGCAGTATTGTTACCAATAGCTTACCCCATTTTGTACTTCATTTCTCCTTTGAAAAGCACACAACTGGGAAGGAACAAAAAACCTAAAGAGGCCAGGTCAATGCCAGTGGTCTGACTGAAGACGTATTTTGCACAGGATGGCTGCTGGGACAAGGTCCGAGAGGTGCTCTGTGCTGCTGACGATGACCAAAGCACCAGCGGCAGCAAAAGTATTACACCAGGAATATCATGGAACCGTTGTGTGGAGTAGCTACAGCCAACTCAAATGTAATTCATCTCACCTATTTTACTGGCAGAAAAGCAGCAAAGGAATACCAAGGGAAATGGTTAATTAAATCTTAACATCTTTAAGCTGTTCATACTACTATTAATTTCTTAAAAGAATAAAAATGGGAAAAGAGGGAAAGCCAGACTAGAGGTATTGTTTCTGGGCAGGTTTTAGAGGTTTGCTAGTCAGAGATGCTTACTGATCTTTTGAGTCCCTCTGCACCTTATGCACTGCTTGAATCCTCTATTCGGTTGCCTTGTGTTCATTAAACACACAAGGTCCATAGTAGAGGTAAGAGGAACATCTTCTAGTTACTAAACCTTGAGACATACTATTCTTGCAAACTTTGATATGATAGATTATACTACATATATACATTCTCATCTGTAACTGTCAGGTCATACTACGAAATATTAAAGTTGCTTGTAAAACAAATTACATTTTCTACTGAAAACATGTGAACAAAGACAGCTAATTAATAGATTTAACAAATACCTAGGCCTGAAAATTACATGGCATTCACCAAAAGGAAACCAATGCAAGCTTATTACAGTACAACAATATTATAAGCAGAAAGAATTTTAAGGACTTGCACAATGGGATAATTTATTACTTTTTGTCACAATGAGAAAGCAAAGGAAAAAGAAATCAAGAGGATTTTTAATTGTTTCAGTGTATTATCTGGAATCATATTGCCTTTCTGCATCAACCTTGTCTCTGCATAGTCAGATTCAGTGTTTACTGCATTTCAGAGCACTTGAAAACTTATCCGAAAGATGTGATTGTTATGACAAGCTATAAAAATACTGAAAACAAATCCACCAAGGCAATAACTTTTGCAACTCTGGAACAGTATAAAATTCTAGGGCATTGCTTGTATTGGATGTTCCATTTCAGAATGAAAAAAGCCAGCTATTCCAAAACAAGCGTCTCAGTCAAGAGTCTGATCACACTCACTCAACTGCAAGAGACTAAACTGAACCCAAGGATTCCCAGTCCCAGGCACGTCGGCATATTTGGCATCAGACTCATACGGCCTTCCAGACCCAGCTGTGTATCACAGCTTGGGGGTGGAGGAAAAGACAGGGACAAAACAACCAAAAAACCCCCCACAAGATGTATGTATTTGCCTGCCCTCTTGAATCCTGATTCTTCTATTTACTGCTCAGAGACAACTCCTAAAAAGACCCTCCTAGAAGAATTAAAAAGTTCAATGAGGATGACAACGGTGCAGGTTTGAGAGGACGTGAGGGGGGAAAAGAGGATGACGACTCTGGTTCAGAGCAGACCTACTCTGCAAGTCAACGCCCCTGTCACTCCAGTGTATCAGCTCTGACCCACACTGAATTCGAGAGACTGATCTGTTTCTCTCTGCATCTGCTAGACACCCAGAGATAAAAGTTAATTATTGCACTGGTTCATCTCATACCCAGGTAGCACTGAACGTAAGAGAAAGATCTTGCTTCTATGTAACAAGCCCCTAAACTGTGTAGTGACTGAGGAACACCTGCCGAACTATCACCCATCTGATCTCAAAACAATCTTCTGGCAGAAAAGAGGTAAAAAATAAATGGTTGTATCTCAGAATTTATTTGGAGTGATCCTGTTATCTTAAGTGCTAATGCTAGTGAGAGTCAAACACTATAATCCTGATACTTTTGCTTATTAACAACAAACATAAGCCCTTAACTAATTTCACTCAGTATGGTATCTGTCCAGTTAATGCTGAGACAGTACATTTTATTCCTGGCTTCTCACCTGCTCGCAGCTTCTTACTATACTTTATTTCATGACTTCAACTGAACAATTTGGCAGAAGACGCTGGCACAGTATGGTCAGCATACTGATTTGCTGGTATTTTGCTGATATTTTGCTGATATTTCTGTGAACAGGAATGATGATTTCTTCTCCTCAGAGTTTAAGCACTATCCCCTAGACTGACCTTATTATTTCATTTGAGATTATTACATTTCATCTTCATTTGCCCGAAATAAAGGAAAACAGTATGAATCAAATTAACCACAATGTAAAGAAGCCACCTAGACATAGATAAAGAGCTAAGTGAGATTTTGCCCAAGGCAAGACAAAAGCTGACCAGGATTTCATGCAGGCAGAAACATACAAGCACATCTTCAGTGACATTTCACCTCTGCTCTGAAGAAACACAGTTTAAGAGGGAGGATGGAAGAGCTGGACTGAAAGAATGTTTCAGGAGTACAGCTCTGCCTTCTGCTCGAGTTGCCTGCTCCTGCATTCATCTGTTAGCCTAATTTTAGGCTGTCATAGAAGTCTGGAACTGTCTCGGAGTAACTCACGTTCATGCCGAATAACAGAATTAATTCACTGAACAGCCTCAAAACAGGAGATTATATCAGCGTTCCAAGACTCATGCTGATTGCCTGCAGGTTTCTGTAGAGAACACATGGTGTTGATTTTCACCATCACAACCCCGAAGCCCGTATACAGGAGAAATATGCCCCATGCAGTATGGCCAGTTTCTATAGGTAGCCCAAATCTGAGCAGACCTTTCTTGTAAGGTGTGGAATTTATCTGGCAAGACATACTAACATGATTCCATCAGTCTTGCAGCCCACCCCCTCAGCCTATCAGTCAAATAACCCCTACCCCCTGCAACGAACTAACCCTAGTTCATTAAGATGCATGCTAGAAGCAAGAACTAGAGTTCTATTAATGTTCAGTTTTTAGGTAGCACCCAAACCAGTTACTGGCTTTCAGCTGTGCCTATACACTACTCAAGTACCTCCAAATATGGTCTCTAATAGATGAACTCTACTCTTAATCAGCAGCAGTGATACCACACACCCCCACCCTCCACCACCCCCCCTCCCCGAGCAACCAAATCATACAGGAGACTCGCAGGTCAAAACAAGAATGACTATTGTAGGTTGAAATGTGACCTCAGTTATAGTTCTGTAAATTCACATGTTAGTGGACTTATTTTTAGTTTGCAATAGCTGATCAGGATTAGTCCTTCCACAGCTTGCCAGCATATTGGCAACCCTACTGGGAGTTAGAAAAAAACAACCAAGGAATAAAAAGCACATGCATCTTACTACAGTCTTAACTAGAGCAGCTTATCTTTTGTCCAGTTCAGTTGCCATATATTAAAATATGCTACCACCTTCCCATGCACAGCCTTGAACTCTGGTCAATACCATATTGATTTTGATTTCTATTGTAAGAAAAAAGCATTTCAGAGGATCTTTGATCACTTCCTACAGACTTCTGGTTTTCTGATATCAGATCGATTATTCTTCTGCAGTTCACATGTTTTTGTGGATAGTCTGCATACCTATGGGTAAGAACTGGATTTTTAATTCTGCAAGTGAAGGCCCTGGCCTTTTTTTTTTTTTTTTTTTAATGAGAAATAAAATACAATGTCTTTAGATGCAAAGTGCTGACAATCCCCAAAACAAGCTGCAGGGTATTATGGTGAACCCACAGCCAATATTTCGGACCTTGTTGTCATTGATCAATGGTCACACTCCCTGAGAATCAAGGCATCTCCTTAATTGTAATGGTCTAATGAATGTGGAACACATTCAGATTCAAGTGTGTAATTTTAACGTTTCAGTCCTGTTTAGAGCACTTTTACAAGCTCTACAAGTTTGACTCAGCCACATTTTCAAAGAGGTAGTTTTAAAAAAATACTCTTGAGGTAACAAGTATAAAATACTAAATGAATAAGTTAAAAGTATCTGATAATTACATTAAATTCCCTAAATTATCTGAATCTTCCAAGCGCATAATGAGTATTGTAATAATGAGTCGATGAAGGTTCTTGCTGTCACAAGTAAAGAAGGGGAGACTACTAAGAAAGCCTGAACAAGTACACGCACTTCTCCCCAACACAGACGCTGCCTCCAGAAACTGGCAGGCAGCTGGCTCACAGCTTTGCCATACAAATGACTATTGAGCATGCATTTTGATTGAAAGCACTGGAAAATAACTATAAATAACCTTTTGCAATTATCAATACTAATATATGAGTCTTAAACCATATTGGAGATTGAAGCGTTCAGGAAATGTCATGTTATCTATTACTGAACTTACCCAGGGTAGAAGATCCTTTATTCAAAATACAAATGGCATGCCAAGTAGAACCAATAAAACCCACATTTTTTAAAAATCTCATTCTCTTTAATACTTTTTAAATAAAGTTATGCTTTTTAAATAAAGTTATGCTTTTTAAATAAAGTATTTTCTTAGAACAAAGACATCAAGACAGAAAGAATACAATGTACACATACCTGATGCTTCTTGAACTTTCACCTTCAGACCTGTAAAGTAATACACAAATACTTAGGGCATAATTACTTGCAGCATTTATAAGCCAAATGTCTAAAAATGGCAGACTCTCATGCATTCTCTCCCTTTGTATTTCAGTTAGTTTTTCTAAGGCTTGTTGTACTTTCCCTACTAACAAGACATTTAAAAAAGAAACCAGTCTACTTAGGTTTAGAATAAATCTATTAGAAGTTAAAAACCAGTTAACAGTTGAAGTCAATAACTGCAATATTAAAATATATGCTGACACCCTCAGAACCCTCAATAAAGACCTTCTGTAAACATGCACTAGCAAAGATTTATGTTCCATATTTGCAAGTGAAAAGCACCAGCCTCTGACATTATTCTAGAAGCAGATTAGCTTGTACTTTTTTTTTTTTTAGCCTTTCTTCATTCTAACTGAAAAGGTCATAGGCAAATACATTTAGGAATCTAATCCCCAGGCTTATTAGGCACTACTCAGAAGGGGCTACGGTTTGCAAATAAAATAATCTAAAATATTTTAAAAACCCACACTTGTCTGAATTTCATAAACATGCAAAAATGAGGAATAAGATATAGCAAGTTACAGAAGCTCTTAGAGGGCATATTTTTCTCAAGTTGAGATGATTTTCTCAAAACTGGAACAAAGCCTCTTCCCGCTCCCCTCAATATCTTTTAAGTAGGAAAATTTAGTGTCATTCATATTGACAAGGTTTCCTCCTCCGAAGAGAAACAGAAACATAATAGTCCCAGCATTTCATGAACAAACACAAACTCCAGAAGAAAACATACAACCATTTGCCCAATTCTTTTCCTTCCTCACTCTAAAACAATCCAGTCTCAGTGCTGCAGAAGCCTTAAATACATCAGTTGGCTCTGCAAAACCAGAACTCAAACATACAAAGCAAAGCAGGAGGTTCCAGAGCAAAACGAAGCCTCAAAACACTCTCTCCATGTCATAATCTTACCAGGGATCCAAATAAAAAGGTGATCAGTATGAACTTGCAAACTCTAGCACTTAAGTGACAATAAGGTAGCACCAAAGTTGCCTCCTTAAAATCAAAGACAAGTGTATTTCTTTAGTAACTAAAGAATCTTCCCTAGTCCGACTGGGCAAAGAAAGAAAGAAAGAAAGAAAGAAAAAGACCGATTTCTTATTACAATAACTTCCATCCACCTCCAGTGACAACTTGCATATTATGCTAGAGGCAGTAGAAAAAGTTACGGCTACCAAAAGTTTTGTAAGTCTAATACTAGAAAGCAAACAGTACTAAAATCTCATTTTCAGAATCTATTGTAGAAACAGGTACCAAAAATTGATTGTTTTCTTCTCCCCCCTTCACTACATGTTCTAACATCATTTTCTTCAAGCTCAAAGAAGTCTAGATGATTTTAAAAGCACAAGCTGAGAGGAAAGAAGGAAAAACGAACTTGGCCTCTTGTCCGACGAGATACTCAGGCAGTGGGAAGAGTGCTGTAATTCAGTGGACTGAGTGTAGGTTACAGAAAGGTGGCCGGGTATACCTACACGTAGGAATATCAGTTGATGTCCCTGACAACTAACATCACAGAATAGTTTAAACCAGAAGCGGAATTAGCACAGTGGAAAAATTCTGTTGTCCAGAGCAAAGTGAATTAACTTCTGCCAGGAAGGAAGAATGCAGTAAGTAGCTGTAGTGCACAATCTCTCAATCTGGAACACCCAGCTGGGTTACTTGATTTTCTTCAAAATATTTTAACATCTAAACATGCACAAGACTTCAGAAGTGGTCTGCATTTCCATCCTGGCACCCTGCCCTAATAAGACAAGCAGTCTGACATCCATCCTCCTCATACAACCCTTTAAACACATACAAGAACAGAGGTGAGGAAAGGATTGGCACAGGGCTAAATTCTAGCATCAGGTTGCAGCTTCGTGATTTCAAAGCTGACACAGTATTAATTCATGAGTCTCTTTTGCTTCCCTTCTCATTTTTTAAAGCCTGTCTGGTCACTTTAAGTTGTTAGGTTTTTAGATATGTATATGTATTCTCATAGACAAAAGGCAACTTTAAAGCAGCTTTTTCTACATGATGACCTTATCCCCGGAGGTTACCTGAATGCAAGGGAAGCAAGAGAAATGAACTCACTTAGGCATCCCCATGAGTAATGAAAAAATTAATGAAGAAAGTGTTTAACTGACACCTTCCCACACTCAGTTTTCAGCAAATTGTATCTTGCAGAACATACACCTTACAATTGAAAAAGATGTTATATGTAATTGCTTGTACTCTCAAGTTTTCAAATATAGCTGAGACAACTGGATGTTTAACCCCTTAATTTTCTGCCTTTCCTCTTGACTAGAATAACAAGACCATCTGGACCATCTAAACAGGGAAAATGTCTTTAAGCGCTCAAAGCTTTCTGGGGTCACTAGAAGAAGCAACCAGCCATCCTAGACCACCTTCCCATCAACTCACTATTCCTCTCACTGAAACTCAAGAAGTATTTTAAGTAAGGCAAGGAAAAGTTGCAAGGTAAAGGCTGCCCCTCTGCAAGGTGCTCTCTGCCAAGTTATGCTCCCTGCACCAAGGCTGGAACCAACTGCTCTCCCAAGCTGATCGTCTTCCAACTCAGCACAGCTAGCCACGAGGGAAGATGGACCACCATCCCTTCTTTATTTTTAGAATCCCCAAAGGTAAAAAAAGCTGCTAAATTTGCATTTTCAAGGCAAAGATTTAGTCCAGTAAATTCCAAAGAGTTATTCAGAGATGGTCAATTTTACTCAGGGAATGAGTAATTGATTTGCAGGGCTGAATGAACACACTGCTGAAAAAACCAGCTACTTATAGTTTGAAATAAAGCATTAGATTTTCTTTAAGCATTCTTTAAAAGCCAGTATTTTAGATCAATATTTAATGTTTCTGCTTATGCTGTAAGCATGTACTGGGCTCTGGATTATTTTTTTCCTTTTGACCCAGACAAAAGAAATGATACCATCACTGCTGAAAAAAAGGAGAAACGTAAAAATTTCTGGCAATATATTCCATTATTTCTTTTAAGGTAATCCTTAAAGGACGAAAAGGCTATGATATCTACAATATCTTCTATGCTACAGTACTTTAGATATATAATAGAATATATTCTGTTTAAGTTATATCAGTGATGTGATAAGTGTCATGCAACTTTCTCCAAGATCTCTCCTCCCATCTCTGGCTGATTTCCAATATTTCATTCTGAGTAGAACTAAAGATTAACCCACACACCCCATTGAAGTACAAGTTTGTCTTCTTCCTGACCCCAGGAACTTTATTCTCAGTAGGAAATATGGCAAAACACATCCTCTTTAAGATTGTTACAGTCAGTAGAAGCAGAAATGACTTTGCTATTAGCAGTATTTACTGTAATTCCACTGCAAGCAGAGGCCAGGAGGAACAGGTACCATCATAAAAAACCTTGAACCAAAAACTAAGTGCAAAGAAAAACAAAACCCCCAGTACTTAAGACTTACAGGACACCGCAAACCAAAGTCACTATTAAAATCCTGAATTATTTTTGTTTAAGTTTAAATGAAGTACTGCCATCACCCTCCATCTGTCAGTCCACATCTGAAAACGAAATTTCAGAAAACATCTCCTTTCATGTTACCGAAATGACTTACTATCTTTTGTTTTGCATACCCAAGAGACAGTCACCACTATCCTCCTATAAATTCAGCAAGCAGGAAAATGACAGAGTATCTTGGCTTCCAGTTGCTGAGTTGGCTGGCAATTTTTCAACAAAACATCCTTGGTAGGAGGTTGTCAGCTCATAAAAATTGAAAGCCATTTACAGGAATATCATAATTTTGAAGAAATCTTTGAGAATAGCACAAGACAGAAAAGCCACTCAAATTGGGAATGCGAGAGGTTCCCATTTGCAATCAGCAAGTCTCTTGTTCATTTAGGTGAGAGTAGGGTCTTAAATCCCAGAACAGCACAGCTTCAGAAGCAAGCTTCATTCAGTGGCAAGTCTCTGGCTCACCCCTGCAAGGAAATGTTCTATTGTCTCCATTATTCCCCCCCTCTTAAAGTATTAATAAACCAGCTGAAAGTCTTACGCCATCTGATTTGTTGTTTACACTTAAAAGTGAAACAGCACAATGTAATGCTGCTTCCAAAAGCAGCTTCAGGACCAGCTTTCCATCTGACTCATAGAAGTAATCATTTCAAAATAAAATCTTGTTCATAACCATTAAGGCATATTACATAGACTGATGTACACAACTACCCCGCAACAATTTCAGCCTTAGCAGATACTTTATTTAAGCAATGAGTAGAGTTACAGCAATGTTCTATAAAAACAGATTATATAGAAAGTAGGAACAGCAGTTTTAAAACTCTATTTGTTTAACATGCAGGATACAAAATTTTCCTTTACATGGCAGGGTAGAAAAACAGCCAAAAGCAGAACTGAAATCTTACTGTAAAACCCCACAAGCGGACAGGACTTTAATATAGTTTCACAGCCCCACACTCACCCACATGCTAATAAGCCAAATCATATCTCCTCACCTATTTAGAGATGTCACTCCCATCAGCATACAGAGAACTGGGTAAAAGCCAAGGTTTATAACAGCGTGTTGAACTTCCACACTAAGTAATCATACTCCATCTGAAATCTTCTTGCAAGTCACAAGAACTAATTTTATTTTAGGAGACCTACTACAGGTACGAGTATACAGTAACCACATATTAAAGAGCAATCTAATTTAATTTTTTACAAAAGAAAAAAGATTGAACCAAATCTTTACAGAGCAATAATAGAATCAATGTGTTTGATGAAGCCTTGCTTTGAGCACAGAACTTACCTCAAGAAAGAAAACTATACCTGTTACAGGTTGTTCTTTTGTAGTATATGAAGTCTTTCAGCATTTGTAATGCAGAGGAATGGTTTACCTTCACAGAAAAAAGCTTCAGGGAGAATTCATTAACGGCTATATAAACAATACTATTTATATCACAAATAGGCATTAGCATGTTTCAGTATAAAG